TCGAAGTCCTGTGTCAGCTTGTTGCACAACGGACTGCATTCCTGAAACAGGGCGAGAAACGAAGGAGAAACAGGCAAATGGAAATTGCAGCCCTCCGCTTAAAGGCATTTGGGCAAAACAGCTTGTTATTAAAGAGAAACTCAGAATGAGAACACCTGATGGGAAGTTTGAGCTAAATATAGCTTAGACTTTAATTACCAATCAGACGAGGATAAAGCTCAAGGTTCTTTTGTGCTTCTGTAGCGTTTAGATCACACTCGTCCTGAAAAGAAAAAGTAGCGTAGCTTAGCGTGAAGGACACACTCTCTTTGTTGTCAAAACAGGCGGGCTGTCATGACTCTGTGTCCACACTATGAGTAAAGAAGAGCCTGTAGAGTTAGGCTGTTTATACTCAACCCAAAGGAGCCAGTGTTTATCATCCACGAAAATATGAGCCCATATTTAGTATCATTTAGTGGCGTCCTCAGATGTGTGCATGCAGGAAGATCTCCGCATGACCAAACATTTGTTACTCTGCATTAAACTAGCATTTTGGAAATATTTGGCAATAAAAGAAAACAAACAAACAAACATATCATATGTATGTACAGATTTTCAGCAGATTCTGTTGTGGAAAGTCTAAAACTGTATTTTACACCCTGCTGAATGCATACTACTTTTTTTCTGTCCCTCAGTTACCTGAACGAAATGGAGAGAATCTGCCAGACAGATTACATCCCAACTCAGCAGGATGTTTTGCGCACACGTGTGAAGACCACCGGGATCGTTGAGACTCACTTCACGTTCAAAGAACTCAACTTCAAGTTAGTACAGCTTCATATTGCTTGCAAAGGGCCTCCTTTGGGCGACTTATTGAGCAGCTCTTGTCTACACTGGTTTACTATATTTATAAACATTTACCTCGATGTCTTCATTGTAGACTCAACAGAGAGCTGATTCTACTTCAGGAAATAAGGACTATTTTTAGGCTTTTCTTGTTTATGTTTTTTATGTAAATTGTAATGGTCGAGTGCAAAAAGACTTCCCTGTGTGGAACAGTTACATAACACAAAAAGTATTTGTGTTAATTAAAGAGAGTAATGCTCTGTACACTTCGCAATTCATCCTGCTATTTCAATCAACAATCGCATCATCAGTAAACACTAGTGGGCCTGTTCCAGCGGCACCCGTACATGCCCATGCCATAACACTGCCTCCACTCTGTTTGACAGAGGATGTTTTATGTTTCTCTCCATACTTTTTTCTTCCCATCATTCAAGTTGATCCTGTTTTCTTCTGTCCAGAATTTGTTTGCCGGCAAAGTCTGTTCTCCCCTTCATGTTCTTGAGTGTAACCAGTGGTTTGCACCTTGTTGTAAACCCTCTGTTTTTCCATTCTTAAAGGTGTCTCTCGATTGTAGACCTTGACAGCTAGCTCGTTAAAAGTGTTGCTGACCTGTTTAGATGTTG